TATCGAGACTGGCAGGTCACTACAGGCCCTTGTCACTTCGATTGGGATAGGATTACATATGAGAAAAGTTTCCGTAAGAAGGAGCGACAGAGTACCTGAGTGCTTTTGCTCTTTGGTTTACAATCCTCTTGATTCTTAGTTAATCTATTAGTCATCCCACGTAGCTATAGAGGCACTTGACAGTTTGTCTCATTGCTTGGTGCTCCTCTGTCTTAGCATTTATCCTCTGACTTTTAAACTGATTGATTTTAATGATGTGTTGGGCAGTTTCGTGGGGAATGACCTCCAGGGGTTTTACGCGTATAATCTGTCCGATTAGGTGGGGCGTGGTTCATGTGTTCTGTACCATGAGTTGTTGATTATAGTCGACCGACACCAAGACGCGTTCTATTGAGCTTTTCTGATGTTACCTTACATACGTAGTTGGCGATGTCATTTTCCATGTCATACCAGGCCTTAGTTTCTGCAGGTCATAGATGCTTTGTATGTCTTTCGACATGGGTAGTACTTACTTACTTACTTACGCCTGTTACTCCCAATGGAGCATAGGCCGCCGACCAGCTTTCTCCAACCCACTCTGTCCTGGGCATTCTTTTCTAGTTCTATCCAGTTCTTGTTCATTTTTCTCATGTCTGTGTGTATTTCTCGGCGTAATGTGTTCTTTGGTCTCCCTCTTCTCCTTTGACCTTCAGGATTCCATGTGAGGGCTTGTCTTGTGACACAATTGGGTGATTGCCTCAAAGTGTGCCCAATCCACTTCCAGCGCTTCCTCCTGATTTCTTCCTCCGCTGGAATCTGGTTTGTTGTCTTCCACAGTAACTTGTAGCTGACAGTGTCTTGCCAACGGATCCGAAGTATTTTGCGTAGACAGCTGTTAATAAACACTTGCATCTTCTGGATGATGGCTTTCGTAGTTCTCCACATCTCCGCCCCATACAGAAAGACTGTCTTGACATTTGTATTGAAAATTCTAACCTTGGTGTTGGTTGAGAATTGTCTTGAGCCCCAGATGTTTTTCAGTTGTAAGTATGCTGCTCTTGCTTTGTCGATCCGCGCCCTCACATCTGCATCTGATCCACCGTGTTCATCAATGATGCTGCCCAGATATGTAAAGGTTTCCACATCCTCTAAAGCTTCTCCGTCAAGTGTAATTTGGTTGGTGCATATTGTGTTGTATCGGAGAGTCTTGCTTTTCCCTTTGTTTATATTGAGACCTACTGCTGCTGGACATGGGTAGTATGCATTATTAATCACAAGTGGTATGCACGGAAGCAGAAAGCCAAGATGTTTGATTTGAAGGAAACAGATAGAAAAATATAAAGGAATTTCGAATTGGAAGAATCATACAGAATAAGAAGTACAAATGACGGAAGACTTGCAAGTGAAGTATTTGATGCATAGTTTTCATATTTGACGAAGATGTCCTGTAATTCTTCAGTAAATAATCGGCAGTCCCCACCTGTGCGTTTGTTCATTACAGTCAACGCCACTATTATAAATCGTGTTCATGAGTTTCGTCCTCACTACGACCTACTTGCTCAGGCACTGTGTGTACACCATGCCGGTTGTCTCTTGGGTGGTTGTCTAGCGGCATCCCTCACAGGCCACGGTTTATCGTGTACAACTCAAACATTAGAGGATTACCTAATTGAAAGTCTCTGGGAGGTCAGAAAATTTTCTCTGTAGCTTGTGCCGGATTTAAAGTTACCATTATTAAAGGGGTTACCTTTTTCTAGGTTTCATCCCTTTTACAGGCAGTATATCTTGACCTGAATGATACTCTTCTCCAAACTTATACAGTATTTGTTCCACTGTTATTCATCTACGGCTGTTTAACGTTTCTGTAAGCTACTCTCAGACAACGGAGCATTAAACTAGATCAAACTGTTTTGTCTAGCGTTTTTGTTCTTCATTTTCAGAGATGTGAAACATATGCTACTGGAATTTCCTTCGCCAGCCCTCACCCACTGTTCTTCATGGTTGTCTGATTCTAGAGTATTAGCAACAACCTACTACTTCATTGGAGTATGTGTTCGGGTTGTTGCTTCCATAGTCCCATGTTTAGTTGAGCCCGTATGTGACGATTTGGATATACTAGTGGAGATTGGTGTGATTTCTTCCAACGAAGTATTATGCCGCCCTTTTATTAGTTCTCTTAGTGTATTTTTTCTACACCATGGGTATACATGCCATAACTATATGTAGGGGGTGACTTGACACAGACCCATAGTATTGCCTAGGCACTACACTATCATAGCGACAGTGAACCCAGCCAGCACGAAAGTCACATATAATTGCTGAGTCACTGGTTTTGACTTTAACCAACAATACTGCTTCTTTCGCGATATATAAAGCTACAGTGAGTAAAGAAGAAATAGTTCTCTGATAGCGTTTGTTGAACTACGTTCTTTCAAACAAATGTAGGAATAAAGTGAGCAAAGTCCTCGCATCGTAGCCAAAAGTTCGAATGAACATGCAAGAGCAAAATCTGTAATGAACGGAAGTGATTTTATTCATCAAAAATCATGAAATTCACTACTTATCAGGTAAGGAGTCATTCTTAGTTTATGGGTGATTAACAACTATGAATACAAATGGACAAGTACATCACATCTGCAGTTAGGCATGGAAAAATCAACATCATTCGGAAAAGGTAACAGTTTGTGGGTCACCTTCTAACTTTTCAATGTTTTCGAAACGGTAGTTTTAATCAACCGTCTTTGTTTAAATACACGGGGATTAAGCAAAGCGCCTAGGCTGTCGACTGCCTAATTTGTCCTGAAGGTAGGTATTAGTGAGTATTGCTTACTTACATTGAGTAAGCGCTCAAAAAGTAGTGAACAATACGGCTCCGTGTATAATGAACTATTTTGGCATAAGATTGATGTGTAGGTTTCTTTTGTGAAATTTGATGCCTGACTCAAAGAAGTTTGGTATACAGTAGTCCGTTTGAATGATCTAGGATACATGCATGTTCTATATACAGGAAATGTTGTAGATGTATAGTGTTCAACATCGAAGGGCAAAGGGAAAATATTACAGCTTACCATATCTCTCAGGCCTAAGTGGGTAATCACTCGTCCCAGTTACTTTGTAGTATGGTTTACGGCCAACGAGTTGATTCAAGTTGCTTTGTAAAAATGCCACTTGAAATTGTGTAAATGGTCTGACCATGTGTGGTTTGATTTTAAGTTCCACTAGATGTATAGGGAAAGCTTTTGGATATCATCTGATGTCTACAGAAGCTTACGCATGTAGTTTCTACTCAATCCAGTTACCAAATTTGAGTTCGAATATACTACCTTCGGTTACCTATCAGCCAATCAGGAAACGCTGCCTAATCATAAAACAATTAGCAGTACAAAGTAATGACATTACAGCTTTGGTCGTAATAATTAATTCTCATGAGTCAAATTATCCCTTCTAGCAAAAGTCACTAACTTCTAGTCTGAGCCATGTTGGTAGATTCAGACTACCTGGTTGGGGTCCGCGTGACTATAGTAACCAATGGTTGGAGACTCTGTATGAAATGGCTCAGAATCGACCACAGTGGCGTAGGTGTATGTACTCTTTATCTTCCCTTAAACCTTAAGATTAAAATTGCTTCATAACGTTCTTCCTTCCTGTACTATATCCTTATATACAACCTATCTTTTATATACTACCACCACTAAATTAACTATTTCTATGAATCCGGTGTTCATCTTGTTGTGCTAACGAGGTATGGCAACTTGGACCGATGCATAAATGTGCCTGGTCCTACGTTGTAGCTCACTGATTGAGCAAAAAAGGAAAAGTTTGCGTATTTGCATACATACTAGTGGTCAGGCTGGTGTTGCTAGAGTTATCATCCCATAGAGTTTTCGTTGCTGACATAATCTAAAAAGGTTTGGGTTAGGTATTAAGAGTTAAACTGGAGTTTTAAATTGGGTCAAGGTTTTCAACAAAGACTGATATAATCTATAATGCAATGCTTTGCCGTCTTCCTTTTTAGAGTGACAGTAAGGAAGAGGAAACATTGTTTAGCTTCACCGAAAACTTGACCACCTAGCGAATTTCAATAAACACTTTAGCAAACGATCTGCCTTGGAAGCAGGTATTTCACTTAATTTAGCCTAAGCACCATCTAAAATTTATGTATTGCAAAATAAGTATTTTCAGTGATTTCAAATATTTTTAGAATAAAATATTGCCGACTTTCACTTGCCTAATAATAGCACGCTACCTATCTCTTTAGTGCTGTTAGAGGTATGAGAGCAGTTATCACTTCCCGGTTGCCCACACCGTTGAAGGGTTCTTCTAGAAGTATCTGAAAAAGAAATCGGGTTAGAAGTGGTCTTAATAACCTGAGAGCGTGACCGCAGTGCCCAAGCGACAACTGCTTGAGGTTGGTCACGCACGACCTTTTTGTGGGTAATTTTGTGTTAGCTCCGTTCTTTAAAGGACCTTACCGCCGGAGACGGAAATCCTTGAGGTAAGGTGTAACATTTTCAGGGTCGATCTTTTCTAACTCCACCCCTCCTTGTGGGAAGACAGCATCGTTGTTATGCTGGTTGTCTCAATGAAACACCCTACTGCTGCCACACCTCTGTACAGTCAGCAGTAGGACTTCGCCTTCGGACCTTGGGTTTGCTGCTTTCAGTCTTACCGCTCTACAATCGACCTGTCTGGCATGGTAGGACCTTGAGGAACGATTGTTCCAGCCAGCATAGTTCATCACGATAGGCAAGCACGACCACCACGTCAATGTAGCAGCAACGCTACTCAAACATGTGCAGAACTGAGTAACCAGCATTCTATTCATTTGCGTGTTTTAATCCGATTTTGGTGAACAAGACTAAACCTTACCTATGTATTGTTCCCTGCCTGAGGAAGATATTTAGTGGTGATAAGCGTTGTCTATATTAGCTTTTCAGCATTCATTATAAACACTTTTAATTTAGAGGTTGGTTAGGAGCTGGTTGTAGTTCGGTATCTTAGAGAAGGTTCCAGTTTGTGCAATGCCAGAAACTGTTGCTGTGAAAAGCTTTAAAGGTGAGTTGCAATTACCAAGTCAACATAACATATCAGATGGGCAGCAAGAAGAACAAGAGTTGGCCTCCAAAGCTCTTCGTATACAAAATAAACGATTCTACTTAGATATCAAGCAAAATAAGAGAGGTCGCTTCGTGAAAATAACTGAAGTCGGCAATGGAGGACAGAAATCACGCATCTTGATGTCAATGCCTGTTGCTCTGGAAATGAAGGAAAAAATTAACAAACTTAGTGACACATATAGCCAACTTCCATCTCACAATCGCGAGTCACTCGCACAAGATGGGCGCATTGCGTCTGACATTATTGTTCGTGATAGCAGGCGCTATTATCTTGATCTCAAAGAAAATGAACGTGGTCGTTTCCTGCGTCTTGCTATGCTTTCCATGGGTGTTCGTGTCCAAATTGCAATCCCAGCTCAGGGTATGATCGAATTGCGCAATGCATTGACTGATCTTATACAAGGCTATTCAGGAGATATGGAGAATGGTAAGGTTTTTCTAAAACCTGGTTTTTATACAGACGTTTTTTGTCATATGTTACGTATGTTGACTGTGCTGATTTCCGAAAATCCTATCACTTATAAAGCGCTTTCAATCACTATTTTTTTGTCATTTTTTTCATGTTCTCATATTAGTGTTTTTATCATAAACAACATGTCTACGACTGCACAAGAGTTAAATTATCTAATATCAGTCGATGAAGACGCTGACTATTGGACTAAGCTGTATGGACAAGTTCAAACCATCTTATTGGGGTCCTCGTGATTATAGTTACTAATGTTTAGAGACTGGACGACATAGCTGAAAGTCGTTCTCAACAGTATGGGTGTATTCGCCCGTTATCTTCCACTAGAATCTAAGTCTCTAAATTACCTTATGAATTTTATTCCACTAATCCATATTTTCTAAAATCGTATCCTCGATGCCTAATCTTATTACCACTAATACTCACTATCTCCGTAAAACAAAATAATAGGCATGCGGGATGTGTGTTTATTGTGAGAAGCTACAAAGTATTTACATATACATCGCCTTTAATCTTCCATTTGCATCTTTCGATGTGTTCTGCAGTCCGAAAAGTCTTCTCGTCTGGTCTTCACATGTTATGCCAACGCTGTGCCTTCAGCTCACTGAAACTCTTCACTCCGTTTGAAAATTGCTGCAACTTTGATGCCACGTTCCGCTACACACTAACAAACAATCCTGTGAGTAACGTCCACTATACATGTACTACTGTGATTTGGCCTGACAATTTCGTCTCTGTGCTAATGGGATATGGTACCTTGAACCCACGTACACACGTCGGGTTGTCCGTTGCACATAACTGACTGGATTATTTGAAGGAATTGCGATCCAGCGGTCTTCATTACCACTTGTTACAAGTATACTCACTTTTGGCTCAATAAACTTTTTGTTTTTGTAATAAAATGCGATTTCTGCAGGTTTGAAGGATATAGAATAACACCAAAAAATTCGATGTTTTAAATTCAGTAGCGATAATCCTATAACCTGGAGAAAAACGAAGTTGTTTGTTTTAACTCAAGCTCGATGACTTCAGAAATTTAGACAATTCTAAACTTTATTGCACTGGAAGTAATCAACTAATATACCAAACTTTTTTTTGTAAAGTGAACAGTTCGGCGACTTGAATTTCGACAATCTTTTATTAGCTGGACAACCATTTAGTGTCGCTAATCTTCGCACATCGGTTACGGCTCATTTTATTTCAATAACTTTTCGTTGCTGGACTACATCGTGTATCGCCCAAGTTTCCTACCCAGATTTTAAATGGTATCCGCGCCATTTTTGTTGACATAGGGTTTCATTTAAGTAAAGTAGTTGTTATCAGTTCAGGTTTATCTGCTATGCTTGTAATGGTCGTCTATCTAGTGTGTTCGTTATCACACACCACATTCCTGCTAATTATGAGGCTCGTTTCCAGGCTACTTAGTAGTGTAAATAGCAGTTTCTTATTGAATCTTTTAAAAGATAATTCTCATATACCACTTTCAGTGTTAAAGACAACAATACATTTCTTGTTTTATTATTGCTAAATATCTACGAAAATTAGTATTTATTCATATTTACATCATTTAAGCAATATGAATTCAAGAAATTTAGTATAATAAACTTCATTTTTCCTTACAGATATATTTTCAGACTTACCTGAATCTAAAGTACTCTTCGTGGGCAACAAGACATTTTATTTCGATGTTGGTTCTAATAGATTTGGTGTATTTCTGCGTATATCCGAGGTTCGTGCTAACATTCGCTCCTCAGTCACCATACCTGAACAACATTGTACGCGATTTTGTGATATTATTACTGAGTTGGCAAACAAAATGTCCAGTCAAAAGCTAACTAACGGAGCGTCTGAGAATGGAAACAATTCTGACCAACCAGAAGAAAAAGTTGATGATGATGTGAAGGAAAATACGAATGGGAATTCATCGGTCGCATCTTAATGCATTTTCTATGATCTCAGAAACGTATGGCATTTATTGTGATGGGTGCTACTGGTGTTCATTATTCGTTTCACTTACAAATGTCCTATTTTATCTCTCTCTTATGGTCATCCAATTGGGATGAACCGTTTTATATAATAATTGTTTTATTTTTTATGTAAATTAGTTTGTTTTTTAATTTAGATATATGCACAATAGTTTGCATTTCTTTAACTTGTTTTTATGCGCATGTGCTTAATAGTCATATGTATTATTATTTATACTTGTGTGACTTGTCCTTCTCCATATTATACATAATATGAATATTCATTTTTTTTCTGTAGCTTTTATGTAACTTTAATATATATAATATAATTCATCGTGTTAGATTTCTCAAAATATGTTGCTCAACGGACTGTGTACATTTCATGCTCATCATGCAGGTGGCTGACTGATTGGGCATGCGAGTCTGTCCATATCGTAAATTATGTACCAATATCGAATCAGTGTTGTATATATGTAGTCGTCAATTCAAAGTTAGAAAATTAAGTGAGTGACTGTTAAGGTATAACGTTCTCATTCTTAAAGTAAAAATCCCCATTCTGGTGCTTACACAAATAGATTGAATTGTCATGCACTTGTGAGACAAATATACGTTGGAAAGACTAAAAGTTATCTGTTTTAAGAGGTCTTTATTTAATACAGAGCAAAATCTTAACGAAAAATCATCAAGCACGTAACTGACACAGGACTTCAAACAAATGAAATATAATTCTTTAGTGTGGTAATCACTGGGAGAATGCTAATTTTTCTCGAGCCTGGCTGTTTTGGAACGTGAGTGGTTAGGAATAAAGTTTGACTACGTGGGTAGAAATATTACCTTACGCACATGCGGTTGAGCTTAAATCTGCCTTATTCCTCTTGGAATTAAACTTCTTTTAAGCACTAGGTCCTTACATAATCTCTGTTGATTATAGCTTACCAATATCCACACCACTTACATAATGTTTTAACTATACTGGTCGACACATTTTAAGTATTTAAGCTATAACCAACATTCATAACATTGTGGTGACTAGTCTTATCAGTTACGACATAGCACTTGGCATAATACGAAGTTAGCTTGTTTTGGTTATTGTGGTACAGTAGTTGTAAATTTATACCATTGAAGTGACTGCTTTTATGAATTTTGGTGTTCACCTTGTCGCGCTAATGGGGTATGGCAACTTAAACCGATGCACATACGTGCCTGTTATTTGTATTTTATATTCAGTCTCAATTCCCATGAATTTGATCAGCGTCGGTACCCATTTTAACCTGTAGATTGTAACTGCGTCATTTATATCAGAGAAAGCCATAAATGAAACCACACAGTTCTGTAGATCCGTCTTCACTTGCTTATTATAAGTGAGTTGCAATCCTGTCAATAGTCGTTTTTATTCCAAATGTTATTCAGTTGTTTTGCAAGTCTTCGGTGTAGTGTCGGTCGATATGTTACGCCCATATACCTTATTCTAGCTTCTGGACAGATCAATTTATTCATCCTTTTTAAGTCACATTTTCGACCTTTTTAATTTTTCACTTATCAACCTTGACTGTGTTTATGTGTGTGTACACTTCTTATCCTATTCATCATACGTCCGTAACTTATTTTTGTCTGACTATAAATATTGATTAACGCTTGACTAAATGGAGTTAGCTCACACGCCTCCACCCTGCGTCATTTCGCTTCACTCTCATCTGATTGCCTGTCCAGATTAATGAGTGTAAAGAATATGTGTATTCGAAATCCATTCTCGTATTTGGCTTACTTCCGTTATTCACTGAAGTGGTTTAAGTCGAGGATAGCCGACATGTGTATTTGGATGACGATCAGCAATCTACTTGAAATCAGATACCGGGCCATTAAAGTAGTGGTCATCAAACATATCCTTGGATGTTCTCAACCACAACCTGCGTCGAGTGAACTGTTTTTCTCCTTATTGATTTAGTCACGAGTGCGTTGTCTGCGAACGAGCTTGCTGATTCATGCCAGTTTTCCGTGTCTGTGCGACTGAACACTCCGGTATTTTGTCAACAGGTGCCTTATTTCTGGAGCGCGTATTCAATACACAAGGTCAAAGCAATATTAGAAAATAACTAAGTTATAGCGTATGAAAGTCAGTCTCCTGGGTTTCTCTGGCAGGTTCTTTGGTTGAAACCCTACCAATGTCTAGTCAGTGACTTCATCACGTGAGTGATGATCAGAAGCCTCATAAGCCAGTTATCTACTCCAAAATGCAGTCTTTGATGAACACTATTTATTGGTTTTTTTAGAGTTGCCAGTTACCAACTTATTAAGAACCATATAGGGGGAAAATTCGAGTTATCCACTCCCTACATTTCCAGTAAGTACAAACAGAACGGTAACTCGTATTATCCGGGTGTTCCTTCAATATTTGTAGACGAATGGGCTCGTTAGAAATTTATCAAATGGGAGGAATATCCTTCGATGACAGGCGACTACAAAATTCCCACGGACGATTTTCTTTTGAAGATCCAACCAAACCTTCAAAGATGACTTAACAACTAATGGATTTCTTCTTGAACACAGCAACTGTGTTCTGGCAGACTACCAGTACTATTGCTATTAATTTTAATAGTTTATTGGAATGATTTGTATTTCCTTATGTTATATGGATATTAGGCAGTATACAGACCAATATCACATAAGAATGAGAATTAGCTTTTTATATAAATGAAGATGAACGTTAATACTCGTAATTTCCTTGAGCAAGTTTTAATTTCTTTTCGACAGGTAAGCAAAGAACAAACTAGAAATAACTGGAATAAATGCATTTGGTAACAGATGGGTACATAAATCTACAATTTATAGTTTAAATCACCAAGGGAAGGGTGCTTTTTCACGGAGAGCTCTCGAACCAAATTTGTTCCACTCGGCTGGTGTAATCCACAAGTCATTTATCAAGTCAGAAGTTAGAAGCAACCTAGCACCAGACCACGAGAGGTCTCCTGGATCAGAGTGATGAATGATTTCAACTGTTGGTATGTGGCTTGATACGGTTGTTGCTGCTTGCTTCTCTCGTGCTATTGCGATTAGCTGCTCAGTCAACCATCTTTCCATCATTTGATTATTAACACCAGCTACCCCTCCACCAGTAAGGATAATACATCCCAACAAACGTCGACGTAGTTCGTCACTTACTGAGCTTGAACTTTGCGAAGGCTTCCCGGGTGCAAGACCAGAGGCTTGAACAGTAACTTCTGGTCCTACCTGAGAACCAACTAAGTTTGCACACTGATTGATACTCCACCAAACTGCCTCTGGAAGAGATTCGAAGGAGTTGGGTTTTTGTGGAAGAGGGTTGCTTACTGGAGCCACCTATAGAGAAAATACGGTGAAAAAAAATGCTTAAACAACTATTAAACACAAGCTCCATTGATCAACTTTGTGAAACTTGCATCAATCAGTAGAACTACTTGAAAGTCAATAATTTCAATAGGAAAAGTTAGTTTGGATAAAATTCATCAGTAACTGATGTCAGGTCAGGAACTAAGGTTCAATGGTCCACACAATTATGGATCCAAACCACATTCAACTTATTGAATTCTTGGCAGTTATAACTACAGGATCCACACAGTAATCTTGACTTATAAATTTGTAGATTAACCTTCTGCAGTTGAAAGTTTGCATTTTTATTTAGATGTTTAATGGAAGGATGTTATTAAATGGCTTTATGCAAAAATAGGTTTTAATTGTTTACTTCCTGATTCCATGGATTTACAATAAAGATACAATTACGAAATCAACCCCTTATTTAAACTGTTTATTATAATTTTCTTGAATCCTGAGGATTACGTAATTGTAATGCCACGAGAAGGCAGTGAGTAGGATTTCCCTTTTAGAGTCAATATACGCGTGGCCATGTGAGAGCATTTCGAGAGGGAGAGCGGACTCTCGGTCGTATCAGGGCATTCGGGGGCTATAGTCATTATACCACTACGTTCATCGTGGTATGTTTATCATCTTTTCACTAATGTGGATTTCGTCTTTCTATACTATCATTCTGAAGTATGATATAACTGAAGTTGATGTAATTTTATGCAAGATCTCACATTTTTATTTGTCTGCTTCAAATGTAAATTGAATTGATGTAAAACAACATTTTTTACCTGTTCCGTAACATCTATTTCTGTTTCCAGTTGTTCATTATTAGGTAGAGTAGTTGATTGATGTTCATTGGGTAAACCACGTTTACGACGTTCACGTGCTGTCAAAGATATATACATATCATCGAAAGGATCATCCGGTTCTGATGATTGTAGTGAAGGTACTTGATATGTACAACAGACTTCTTTTGATGGAACACATGAAGAAATACAAGCAAACGGAAGTATATGTGATAATAGAACTGTAGACGGATGAAGAAATGAAACATCATATTGATTTTGTTTATGCGTCCATTGAAGTGTTATATTATAAAAATCATTATTTAATAATGATTCGTTAGCTTTCGGTTGAATTTCTTCATCGAGCTTATTTTTCTCGTTTCGTTGACATAGTAAACGTATTGTACATTGAACCGAATTCTCCATAAGTGTGCGTAAATCTTCTACGTCAGAAAGATGTTCATACTTTAAATCCCTAAACCAAATCAGTTTTAAGTTTGTGTATGTACAAATAAACAAGTTACACACTCGATCATGAAATCACAAGTAGCACAATATAAAATATTACAGACTACGTAATGATAATAGTGACATCATATACCACACATGGCCTAAAACATACGTACTAGCGTAAACCAACCCAGCTCACATCAGTACGGTGAATTAAAAAAGATGGAAAGCAAAGGAATCGCAATAATAAGACCAATGTTAGTATATTTGATTAAACAGGAAATATAATCCAGGAAAAATATCACATTAAAAGATGGAATGTCACTAAGCCCAATACTTAGGAGGAAGGGAAAGAATGAATACAGCTGCATATCATGTGACTTAAATTTTCCAACTACCGGTTAAAATTAATGAATGGGCTACAACTAAGAAGTTTAAATTTCCTATTTCACCAACCCATATTTTTGACACCTTGTAGTGCCGTGCTTCATTAATAGTTCACTTCGATAACCGTTATTATGCCAATCTTAAAGGTGTATAAAATCAGAAGGCAAAAGGAAGCGGCAACTACATTTTTATTGATGAATGATGCAGACCAGAAAGTTGTAAGCACATGAGCAAATGTTAGCGAGCGAAACAAAGATGATGCATAGTGGAGATGGCTGGGAAGCCAACTCGCTATGAGCAAGCATTACTCAATATTTATAATCAGACAAAAATGAATGACAGACATATGATGAATAGGATACGAAGGGTACACATATACGCTCATATAAAAATATAGTCAAGGTTAATAAGCGAATAATTAACAAGATCAAAATATGACTCATAATGTATAGGTGAATTGGCTTGACCAGCAACTAGAATAAAGTATATGCGCTTAACATATAAACTGATACTACACCCTGACCTTGTTTGTTAACACTAATATTGCTACTGCTTCCACTATTCCGGGACTTACACCAACAACTCAAACACACAGATAATATAGTTTTGTTTGGTGAAGACGCTGATAATATGTAGCTTGCTGAACACCTTAAGCAACGATGAAAGCATGTTTGGGTTCCGATTCTCTCCATCTAAATACAAAATGTTGTTTAAGGACTAGCCTGCATCAACGCCTAAATTAAAGACAGGGAGTGGAGTAGTTGAGCGTATCACTGCTTCACCAGTCCTGATAAGCTGACATCTGACAGTCTCGGCATGGATTCAGAAAGCTCGATTGGCTTATGCTCGCCTGTGGAGTAGGCAAATATCCATCTACCAATCAAAGGACAAGTTTATTGCGCAACAGTTTGCTCCGTTCTACTTTATAAATATGAAACACGGCCATTAATAATAGAGGATATATGTAGGTTACTAGTATTCGACCATAGGTGTCTTTGGAGAGTTGTTTATGTATTTTGGGATCACCAAGTAAGGAGTGCATGGGTTAGGGTACTCGGTAAAGATGACCAGTAGATTGATAGGGCAGTAAATATCCAACTGAGGTGGTTGTGAATACGTAACACATGTCCCGACCACCGCCTACCTTGACGAGTGTTGTATGGTTTAAAAGTAGGCAGGGAGAAAGGCTGGGGCGTCAAACCAAAATCACTACCAGCCTATGAAGTCACTGACAACTGGACAGAGCCATGTTGACAAAGGTAATCAACCACGCTGGGGTTTGTGTGGTTATCGTAACTAGTGGTTAAGAAATTTGAGTGACATGGCTTAAAATTGTTCGCGAAGGAGCAGGTGCATCCATCTTGTTTTCCCTCGAATTTTAAGCTTCCGAATTCCTCATATTTTTTATTTCATCAGTTCATATTTTATTGATCGTCTTCGATGTCCAATCATTTGTATTACCACTAATACCGTTAATACCTTCGCTATTCGGGGATTCGCGCTAACCATTTCATTTTGCTGTGCTAGTAAGGTGTGGGAGCTTGAGCCGATGTATATACTTATCAGGTTTTAGGACGCGGCTGACTAACTGGCTCGAGTCACCCACGCTCACAGTCTGAGATGCTACCACCAAGCTATTCGGTTTCTTAATAGCTTCAAGGTTCCAAGCATGCCTTGTTGATGAGTACCAACTAGGACTAAACATAAGTCGGAGGTTTCCTCCTGACTACTTACAACTACCTAACATTTTATATATATATATATATATATATATATATATATATATATATAACCACTAGAAATAAAGGTGTAATAGAGTTATATGGTTTTATTCTGAGGTTATTTTGGTACTATGTTTTTGGCAGATTTTGGAAACAAACTCAATAATATAAAGTTTGTGGAGGATATATTGATCCATAGACTATTATGCTTGATATTAGCTGCTATGAAACAAACGCACATAAAGCAGGATTGATAACTTTATATTAAAAGTCTACTAACATCTCAAACATCAAGAGAGGTACAGATGAGTCCAGTTTTAAAAAAACTAACAGACTAGATGTGGGATTACGGTTTCGTATTGTATTCAAAGAATGTAGTTATGAACTTTTTAATTTAAAGATATTTCAGAATACAGCAGATATGTTAAAACCACTGGAAAAGACTCTCATTATCATAAACTTACACAGTACAACCTTCCTTGTTACAAAATCCATTAGGTAGTACAAGAGAATGGAATACTCGTAGGACATCACTTCGTCCAACCGGTAAGATTATACGAGTTTCTGTATGAGCCACTCCATCTTCTACACAGGATACACTGGTTTTTTGTTCACCTATATTGATAACACAAGCAGTAGGTAAGCCAATGCCATAGGTAGCGCAGACACTAGCTTGATGTACAAAAACACGTCCAAATTTTAGTCGATTGAGTAGTAAATGAACTAGATGTCGTATTTCATTTCTTTTATATACATCACTGATCACTAGAATTGCTCTATAATTACTAAGATTTGATCGCGGAATACCAACCTAATAATAAAGACAGAAAGTTAAATATATAGAACTGTTTCTTATTCGAGATCAAATTTGAGATTTAAATGATAAATAAGTATTTAGTGAGTAATAATTTAACATTACTTCCCAATGTTACTACTATTATAACGTCTAGACACTTTAATGGATGATTAGTCAAACTAATAAGTTAATTTAACTCGGTAGTCAAGTATAGATTTTTATGCTCAATTTAAAACAAAGCTTATTATATAAGGAGTAATAATAACATTAAAGTACTTAAACTTAAGTAAGAATATTGGAAACTCAATTAAATTCAAAACACTGAGTGAACTCATTTAGCTTAGAAAATAAACTACAACACTTAACTTTCGTCAGGAAAGAACACCAAGGTACAATGTTAGGTACTATTCAGTAAATAATGAGTACATATAATCAAATACTTTCGGCAATGATTTGTAGGTAGCATTGCTCTGTATCACAAAAATTGCAAAATATTCTAAAATGAAAGAGGCATAAAAATCCCCAAATACTTCACGTCAATGAGTGTCAAGAAACACCGAAACTCGAAATTCAGGTATCCTAATGACTCTTTCAAATAAGTCAACAGTAAAAACGCTTTACTTGCTCCCTGATTTGTTATCTTGTATATAGATATGTCTGGTCTTTCAAAAAAACGGTCTGAGTGACAATTTTCTTATGTAACAATAAGAATAGGGTTCCTATCTATTTATTTTGCCATCCTTTACACAGGACCCTTTTTCTCTCTCTGAACCTTAAAGTCTAGTACAAAGACTAAGGTCTGATTACCGAGTTGTAATAACATAATCAGCATCTACCGTTTACAAAACCTAAATACTACCGATTAGACTATCAAACTATAAGAAATAAGTAAACATTTAATAAACTTTACATCAAACTAAGAATCACTAATAAATTTCGAGATATTTGGGTAATTAAGTGAATGCTGAAATAGATTTCTTCACCGTCAGTTGACAAAACAACCAACGAAAGAAAATATAGAGAAAAACAAAATGATAATCTAGATCTCATTATCAACATTTTGTTTCAAGACTCCAGCCACAATACTCTTCAAAAACTTATGAGCTAAGGGCTACGGATTCAGTGATTTCGATCTGATTATAAAACACGAATTATCATCCTTTAAAGTACTATTAAAGTTGAACAATAACTGCATAATTTTCGATAGATGTATCACAGTTTGATGACTTTAATACATATCAAATAAATTACAAATATGTGAATACAGGAATGATTATTCCTTCTTTAAAACACGAGTCAGTTAAAATAATTTTTTCTGAATACTCAGCTTTTACAATAAATACATACATGTTTTTCCAATGCTGTAGACCAAATATCTTCCAGATCTTGCAGTACGGCAGTGTAGTTTGCGGATGTTGATAAAAATCCATAACGCATGGGCCAATTAATATGATAACCATCTCTGAGACCACGATTAAAAGCGTCATTTAATGCATAAAATTCCTGACCTAAAGGTGTATTGGATTCCCATTCAAAAAGCTTGGTATCTTCAATTTCAGTATGCTCCAATCTAGATGGAGTGACAGCAGGTAACCCATTTGATTCGGGTGAGTAACTCAAATTAAACAATGTATTTACAAATGACCTGATTGTGTTTACTGATTCTTGGAGAGAGGATGAGTTACAGGCGGCTTTCTGTCGACTGATAATAGGTTCAACACAAGGTGGAACATTAGGTTTAGGTTTACGGGCAATGCAATGTGGGAATCGTTTTGGCAATATTTCCACAGCACGGCCGATTCGTAAATGAAAAGAACCAGGCTCAATGATTACCACATTCTCAGCAAGGGTTGATTGGTTCCTCATATTAAAGGATGAAAGGCTGTAGTATTCAGGTAACGAAAACAGTTTTCATTGAGTTTACAATAAAATGAAGTTGGTAGACTACGGTAACATGAAATCTTCCATTAACGGAATGATGAAATAATCAGGAATTTGTTTGGTTTCACATTTTTTGAGGTCAAATAACGAATGTAACACACATTACACACATCTAAGTGAATACCGAACAGCCTATCGATAACATTTATTCAGACAGGTCTGTATTGTAAGGAAAGTTCCTTAAGATTTTAAATGCAGACTAAGAATGAACATATGACAACGTTTGACTCAAGTGAGTGTAGCATAGCAGTTCACGCCTTTGCGTTTAAGCTGGAAGTTCACCAGTTAAAACTCTACTTCATCTTACTTGGTTTTTAATGACGGCCACTACATCGTAGAATGTTTCACATAGGCCCCTAAATGCCCTGGTACGACCGACAGTGAGGAGAGTCCGCTCTCCCTCTCGAAATGCTCTCACATGGCCACGCGTATATAGCCCCTGCCAGGGAAGTCCTGCTCAATGTCTTCTCGTGGCACTACAATTGTTTACGAAATTGAGAGGACGAAAAACGAATGTCCGGCGCTTCAACGGGGTTGGTGGATGTGGAGTGTCCACAAAGGAGAGTTAGAAAACCCTGATTCCAAATTAATGGTGCACATTGGCTCCAGTATCCTGAAAGAGCAAATGGCGTATGAATCAATCGTTGGTCACCGGCTACCATGGGACTACATCTCCTCACGATGTTCCAGTGCCTTGTGGATTAGACCTTCAGGTGTGCCCCCCTAAGAAAACTACCTGCTTTGGATTGGGCTTCTGGGCAGTATCACAGCCCTCACACAAATCGAATGAGATTTGTGCGGCGCATATGTATCTGGTGCTTCCTTGTACCAATATTTATGTTTTCAAATAAATAATTTTCAGACTGATATACTTTCAAGTTTATATAGAGAATCAAAATCAAAAAGTCTTCAAGTTTAGGCACAGGTTGAGTGCATTATTACGTTTTGCAGACAGTAGAATATAGAGAGCCGTTGCATCATATCTACAATCTGTGAAAAGCGTTTAGGCACTTAAGTCTATAAGTGGCAAACAGAAATCCTATGATTCTTCATCATTCATCGACTATTAACCATATAGTACTATTACAGGATTCCTAGTGAGACGTTTAAGAACGTTAAGTACTCCAGTTTCCGTTAAAATTTGTTAATAAGAATCTATACTAAACTGCCTTACATCTCACAGATCTAAAACTTACATCGAAAGTTTCCAGAATCCTACTTTAATCGAGAAAGTTAAACAGTATCATTAGCTTGAATAAATTGGGTACTGCTTACTGTCCACTCGTAAAACATATAATCTTAATGAGCTACAATGATAAAACAAAGTCTGACTCTATGCACCTTCCGTTCACCAAATATACGATGCAGACACTAGATAAATATCACTTCTAAACTGAGATTCAGATGCTGAAGTGAAAGAAAAACAATGAGTTTATTTGTAGTAAGATGACACTTAATACGTGATAGGACTGATATATCCCCTCCCCTGCACAAGTGTATATGAGGAGTGTTAACTCTAGATGATACTGAAATTACCTATCCTATCCCTAAACATGCATGTAATAAGTTAAAGCTTTACAAAGCTGTTGTTAGGCCTGACGAGATGTTGGAAAAAACAAAAGATATTCCTCAAAGTTTGGAAACTGGGATTGTTACATAACGACAATTATACAGGCTTTTCAGACAGTATCTTACTTGTTTTCAGTTAATAGGGACTCTCGTTACGAGAGAAATAACTTCTGTTGCATTTTTAAAGATCTACTACACCCTTAAGCTTTCTGAAGGTCACAATAGCATCAACGCGACCAGCTGGCTGGGTACGGTAAAAAAAGTCAGAACAGCTGCGCGTTTCAAAAAGGGCAGTGACTTTCATACTTGTTGTGATTATCGTTGCTTTTGTGTATTTGCTGTATCAAAAGCATTCTTGGTCTACTTTAACTTGAATTAATTCAGTTAAGGTTTGAAATTTTATTGAAAACTTTGTCTCGTGGTTCCTTCTTTTGCATATACTCTGACGCTTGTGCTATTATTGTGATCATATTGTTTTTTTAAACCTAATCCGATTACAATGGTTGGTAGTTCATTCAAATGTGGACAGCCGAACTATTTATTCCCCGTAGATGAAGGGATGCAGTGCGATGAATGCAAAAATGGTTCCACAAGATGTGTACCCGTCTCAGTCCAGCTGCATACAAAAGATGTTCTAAGCCTAACTCGCACTGGCTTTGTATGTTCTGCTGTACTAACAAGACGACATTAATTCAAGAGGCTATCAGCCTATTGGCTCTAGCCTGTAAAAAGAAAGATAGTGGGTGCGCTAGTAACGTAAGCACTGACAGTGAAGACTGTGTCAGTGTTGTAAGTGCTGTTACAAAACGCGCTGAACAACCTACTCTAATTGATGACAAAGTGAAACTTCCGTTACAACAAACGAGGAGTAAATCACCACATGGTATTGACATGAGTAATCATGTATCTTTAGTAGAAATTGAGGACCCGGATAAAACCGTCACCGTCCCCAATAGTCCCAATGCAGCTGTCCTGAATGACCAAAAATGGACCGCAGTAAAGAGGAAAAGAAAAGGAAAAATAGCTAATGATAAAGCACACTTGGTTGACAAGCCATTGAGGAACTCACAGTCTGAGTCACTCAATGCATTATCGCACTCTGATAGAACGGCAGATCATCATCCTAGTGCGACTGAGAGGAATTTAATATCATCGAATATTATTGTGAGTAAATTGCCAGAGTCTAACGATCCAGATCCTAAGGTTAGACACACCCATGACTTAGAGAGGCTCGGAGAATATATCCGTAGCATATTACCACATAACACTAAAGGTGTTCAAGTCAAAAAATTAGTTAGAATAGGTAAAAGGGCCGATGACAGTGTTCTACCCCGACCGTGTAGACTCCTTAAGGTAATCTTAGGGTCGGAGAAACAACGTAATCTTCTGTTAAGTAACGCTCGAAGTCACGACAACTCTGACATTCGAATGCGACCGCATGTGTCTCTTGAAGATAGAATAAAAAGGAAGACGGCACTAGCTGAACTAGAAACCCGTCGACAAAACGGTGAAGAAAATCTCCGATTGGTGGGTTTTCGAATAGTCAGGTCTTGGAAGCGAATGCTACCAAGGCCTGTGTGGATAGGTCGTTCCCCCTAGGAGTTTTATATGCCAACGCCCGTAGTCTAAAACATAAATTCTACGAGCTAGGAACATTAGTGGACAAATTAAGGCCACTCATTGTAGCTGTGACGGAAGCTTGGTTAGTCCATGACTTCGATATCACCCCAGAATTATCCGAATATCATTGTTTAAGAAGTGATAGACATAGATGCAGGAAAGGAGGTGGCGTCCTTCTATACATAGCCAATAGTATAAATATCCGCTCCTCCGTTTGCGAATCCCATGATAGTGGAACTAGTGAAGTCATTAGCTGTGAACTCACTGTCGGATGTTGTACATTTGCACTCGGTGTCATCTATCGCAGCCCAATCTGCTTAGCTGATGACTTTATTTTAGAACACATTCGGCTATGGAGTGCAAATAACAGATGCTTGATATTAGGAGACTTTAATGCACCTGACATTAGTTGGACTGAGATGACCACGAAATGCTCTATAAACTCATTTGATAGCAGGCTCTTGGAAACAGTAATTGAACATGCATTAGTACAACATGTATCCAAACCTACACGTTTTGGTGTAAACCAAGGTTCTTCTCTGTTGGACTTGGTAATTACCCATGAGACTGAGGATATTGCTAACCTAAATATTCTTCCCCCGTTAGTAAATAGCGATCACGCTGTTTTATCATTCACGTTTAGAGCTAGCGATATGATATACGACCAGATTAAGCCTCGCCCAAACATATGGAGAGCTAACATATCAGAAATTCAGGATTGTGCTACTAAGATAGATTGGTCAGCAGATACTAGCTCATCAGTTGATGAGGCGTGGTCTGTATTTAAAGGCAAGTTTAGTGCAGTCACGTCCCCGTTCATACCATACTTGGTGCCAGGTAGACCGAACAATAGTCCACCGTGGATTAGAAATAATTGTAAAGCGTTAATTAGTAGGACTAGACGGTCATACGAAAAACAATTGGTTAGGGATTGCAAACATAGTCCAAAACGGTTATTCTCGTATATAAAGAGGCGAACTCAGAGAAGTGATGGAATACCATCACTTTTGATACAAGAAAATCCGTTAAGTTTAGCAAGAAATGATACCGAAAAAGCGGAAGCTTTTTCGGAATATTTCAGTAACGTTTTTTCTACCAATAATGAGGAACGATCACCTATTCATTGTGATTGTGGCGACTTGTTGATGGACCCTGTAGTTATTAAGAAAGAAACTGTTTTAAGCCTACTTCAGCATCTCAAACCTGATAAGTCTAGTGGTCCTGATGATATTCATCCTCGGATTATGAAAGCCCTCTCAGATGTTATTGCTGAACCCTTAGCGATGCTGTTCGATATGTCCCTACGGCAGTTCAGATTGCCAAGAGACTGGAAGGACGCAATAATCAGTCCGGTGTATAAGACTGGGGGTAGGGATTTAGTTAGTAACTATCGACCCGTCAGCCTAACTAGTGCAGTTGTAAAACTAATGGAAAAAATTATTAGGATGGCTGTTATAAACTACGTGGAAAGACATGATCTTTTGTCAAAGGAACACAATGGTTTTCGAAAAGGTCTATCATGTTTGACAAATCACCTCATTGCAAAAGAAAATTGGGCTGAGGCAAAAGATCGCAATATTCCTGTAGATGTCATTTTCATAGATCTAAGTAAAGCCTTTGATAAGGTTTCCCATTCTGGTCTTAAATTGAAACTAGAAAGTTTTGGAATTCATTATGCAGTCATAGACTGGCTAAGTGACTTTCTTCATGAAAGGAGACAACGGGTAAGAGTAAATGGGGCTCTCTCATCGTGGGGACCAGTAAAAAGTGGCTTCCCCCAAGGCACGAATTTAGGTCCTCTTCTCTTTTTACTTTATATAAATGAATTACCAGCTATAGCTAAGTCATCCGTCCTACTATTCGCCGATTACATTAAGATTTGGAGACCCATATATAGTATGTCAGACAGAATAGTTTTACAGGAAGATCTTAACTCATTAGTTGCACGGATGAATGGGTGGTCACTAGAAGTAAACCCTAATAAAAGTGTTGTGATGCAATTAAATAACTACGGTGATTTGTATCACTACACATTATGTGGACTAGTGTTGCCCAAAGTAAGAAACTATAAAGATTTAGGAGTCATACTAAGTAATGATCTCAAAACAACCAGTCACTGTAAGGCTGCTGCTGCAAAAGGCTATACGGCATTATGGTCTATTCGTAGATCTTTCCGGTATCTGGATGGGGAAATGTTTAGAATATTAAACCCAACTTTTGTACGGCCACATTTGGAATATGGGATTCAAGTGTAATGAACAAAACACGACTGGGGGACAATCGAATGTATTTAAGCGAAAGTTACAGACTATCTCAGTAAATTCCGATAACCAAACAATGAACAGTCAATTTGCAAATTAATAACCAATTGTTTCAATCTTCATTGTTTCTTCTCTTATTCCATTGCTCATGCATTTTCCAGACGATTGCGCTTCATTTCAGTTCCTTCCTCATCGGTCTTCTGCCAAAATACATTCTACGTCTGACCCACACCATATACTACTTATATAGATATAAGTAGAGAACACCACACAAGCAGCGAGTCCTTGTTTCAAATATGAGGCGGATATGTTGGAACGAGTCCAACGCCGCGGGACAAAAATGGTAAAAGGCTTATCTAGCCTATCTTATGAAGACAGACTGAGACACCTCAACTTATTTCCGTTATCTTACTGGCGAATACGGGGTGATCTAATATTGGCATATCGTATCCTGAACGATGACCTTGGTACTAACATGTCCTATCTTTTCCTCCCGTCTAGGGCTGAGCATTTGAGAGGACACTCAAAGAAAGTCCAAAAACCGAGATCAAATCGTCTACGTCTGGAGTTTCGTTTCTTGCACCGAGTAGTGAATTACTGGAATTCTCTACCAGAACACGTAATATCAGCACCTTCTGTTGATATATTCAAGACGAGATTGGACCTCCACAGTGTAACAAACTGCAAGAATTAAAATAGGTCACTAGACCTCCTATCCTTATTACTGAAGACTGAAGACTGAACCTCTCGAAACCTCCCGCCGTTTTGTTTCAATGACCTTGAACGGCCTGACAAGAAGCGGTCATTCTGTATTTGATTTGATGTGGGTCTGCTGGGTGTCCTTTGGATTGCACGAATATCGGGTTTTCTCATATTTGAGTCGTGTTTTGCTGCAGTACGTTCGCAAAATCAATGCGAAAAGTGTTAATTTAGCTTCCCCTGTTTGCTAGTGTACAATTCGGCTCTTTTGTTGCTGGCTGGATTCAGTTTGGTTTAGATTTACCTCAAATCAGTTATTGAAAAGCTTGAATTGCTAAAATGATGCATAATCTGGTGAAGCTATTTATTTATAAGCTGTAGTAGCCGTTCAATATGCGGTTGTCTAGAAATTCCAATACGCCTGGGGAACATCCGCCCGGTGGAATCTGGATAAATTTTATACTTGTTCCTTTGACACAAAGGCATGTGTTGAGGTGAAAAATTTCCCAAAATAAATAGTTCCGAAATTATTTGATATTGATGCTGACCTCATTAATTCCTCTGATCAAACCCCCAGTTGAGTGAGCTCAGTGACACATCCGTACCAGATCACTATAAGGTATATCATGCTTTTAAAGATGTCACAGATATTCAGGGTTTGACAACACCTATGTCCATAATATCT